GGATGGCATCCCGTCCTTCTGGTGTATCAACCGTACCACTCAGCTTGGTGTCATCTGCAAACTTGCTGAGGGTACACTCGATGTCGCTGTCCATGTCATTGATAATTGAACATTGAATTGAACATTGAATTGAATATTGAACAGCACCGGTCCCAGTACGGACCCCTGAGGCACTCCACTCGTCACTGGTCTCCATCCGGACATTGAGCCGTTGACCACTACCCTTTGGCTGCGACCATCCAACCAATTCCTTATCCACTGAACAGTCCACCCATCAAATCCATGGCTCTCGAATTTAGAGAGAAGGATGTTGTGGGGGACCGTGTCAAAGGCTTTACAAAAATCCAGATAGATGACGTCCATTGGTTTTCCCTTGTCCACGCTTGTTGTTACACCATCCTGAGCAATCCATCACAAACAGGAGTGTGCCTCACCAAAACTTCTGCAAACTAATATATGTGCTCAAGTACCACTTTTATAACAAACGATACGTACTCCAAGGACTCTTGTTGGCCTTTTGTGGTACGGCTGCCATACCACAGCAGTGTGGTAATGTGTTTTGTGTAACAAAGATTAAGAAACATTAAGAATAATTCAGCCCTCAAGAGAAAAAGAGTCTCCAATTCTGAGCTTACCACATCTTGCAAGTGCCATAAAGCGTTTTTTTTACTTCTATTCTAGTTCAGGATAAACATGATTACTTCTCCATTTTAAGTATTCCCAAAAGACTTCTATAATTAACATCTACTTTCCATTAAGAAGTGAATTTTAATTACTGCTTTTCTGGTGTATTTGGTCAAGTAGAAAAAGTGATACTGACACACAATCTGACTCAACTTCATCATCCACAAAAACCAGAAAGAAGAAAAATTCTTTCAGGCAAGAACAGTTTTCCAAATCAGCATAATGTTGGCTTGAGAGAAAACAGGGTCTTTGTTTGAAAGCCAGCCTTGGAAATAACATCAATGCTCCCCACCCATACTCCGACAAACCCCACCGTTCCTCCACTTGGGGACTGGGAGTGGGGTACAGGTACAAAGCCACGTGGTAATATAGACTGAAATACAACTAGCTGTCTCCCAGCAAACCAAAAACGAAAGTGCACAGACTAAAAGATTAATAGTGCTTTTGAAAAGAGTCCCTTCAACCCAAAGTTATGACGATTCCCTTTATCCAAGGAAAGCAAGCTGCAAAAGGGAAACGCTTAGAACAAAAATGCCAGCTGAAAACAAACACGCAGCCAAACTTCGGTCTTTTTGCAAGGCCTAGAAAATAACTATTTTCCATAGATGCAACAGCTAACTGACAATCCTAATGGTAAACCGTATTTTACAAGCACTGTGTCTACTACTAATGTACTCTCAGGATACAGTGGCAGACACACACTACCCTTGCCTAAAAATTTTAGGAATAACTTCGTCACACACTGAAAGCATACTGTGCGAGGACATTCTTTAACAGCTATGGCAAAGAAGTTTAATTTCCCTTTACAGAGTAGTAGACAACCACTGAGGAACAAAAACAGTAGCTTCAATTAAAAAACCTGACAGTTTTGCTAACAGTTTTTTTTTTACTGGGCATTTACAGAACACGAGGCTGCTTAGAGACTAGAGAGGAGATGTTACTGGTTATCGTGGTATCGATTTTTTTCTGAGAAAAAAAAAACCACCAAATAAAACACAACCAAAAAAAACCACACACACACATTCCAAAAAACCCACAGCACAAGTGGTTTCCATCATTAAGGTATTCGTTAGCATGTGCTCCAAAGCTAATATGGGACAAAAAACAGTTGGTCTTTACAGCCTGCATATAGTTCTGTCCTGGGTTTGGCCAGAACAGGGTTAATTTTCACCAGACTCCAGGAAGGGGCACAGCCGGGGGGTGGGGGCTGACCCCACCTGGCCAAACAGAGCCCGGTATTCCATACCATGTGACGTCACGCGGGGTTCCGGTG